GTGCAAGGACCATTATAACTTCAGACGCAGCAGCCAGTGCAATTGCAAAGTGGATGAAACTCAAACTCAGAGCCTTAGGTGAGCAGGTTGCATCCCTCCGGGGAGAGAGTGGGTGCTCCGTTGCTGATGATCTCGCCACCTGCACGTGTAAGACTCTCGGTCTGGCTTGAACACTCTTCAGCATGTATCTTTGTACACTGGGACTCATTTAAAAAGCAACTCAATCCCGTGACGGGATGACAGTAAGGCGGATATTCTGGAGGGTTGAGATTAGATGGGCCAAAGAGCTTCGTTCGTCCAAAGCAGCCTTGTGATCTGAGTTACAATGATATTATTCCTTGCGTTTGATACAGCATCTATCATCTTAATTTCGTGGATGATGCTGCGTTGCATTTACACCGTCAATGAAACACCCTAACCACAGCGTAATTGCAATTTCACGACACAGGATGATTTTTTCTTTCTGATTTTAAAAATAAATTTAAAAAAAATGACTAAATGTTTTCTTTTTTTTTTGCAAACCGAAGCTTCCAGGAACAAATGAGAGAATTTACAATATCTGCCATTTAATTCTCAAACACCACCCTCTGCTGGCACATGTTAATCACATTGAAAGGGACTCATTGAAAGGGGTTAAGCCTGAACGAAAATTCAGGCTCAGTCTCATTTTCTGTCACGAAAAGTGTTTTGATAATCACTGTTTGAAGCCAGGAAGATATCTAACAAGGTTTAATTTGGACCTTGATTGTCTGTCTTTCAGAAATGTCAAATAATAATAATCCTTGCATTTGATATACAGCAAAACTCACATAAGTCGTATCAGTTGGGACCGTACATTCAACGCGACTTGTGCAAAGAATGAGTTATAGTCAAACTAACACAGAAAATAAACTCTTGAAAGGGACTTGGGCAGATGGATGACCTAGGCGATTATACGATTTAAACAGATCATACATACGTGGGTTTTACTTTACCACCTTTTATGTCAGGAGGAAGTCTCGCAGGGCTTTACAGGATATACTGTCCAGTTTCACAGAATGCGGATTTGATAAGAGCAGCTTGATGCTGGGAGGACTGGAAGAATGAGATCAAATAAAGCAGCTCTTGCGAAATGTCTCAAAGCGCTTCGCCGCTGCCAAGTGCAGTGACGGTGTATTTGCAGGCAAATAAGCGGCAGCTCACGAGATCACAAGGTTGGTTCCGTTGAAGAAGGCCTATTTGTTCTCATCTGTCCAGAATGCCCTCTGAACAGTATCTCTTGATTTTTTATAGCATTGAATTGCTGATTCGATAATAAAATGGACCCCAGTAACACAGCTTTTATCTGCAGTTTATAGAACTCCTAATCGAGGAATGTTTTGTGGCGAGCTGGGTTCTTATCACCTTTCAGCTCAAAGCATTTACCAGCTCCTTTGATTTTAATGTAATGTTGATGTGAAATTGCATACGGTATCTCTATTTCCCTCTGTGCGTATGTATGTGTGTATATCTGGGGGCTGGTCACACTCTGTACCTTTTACACTTAGGAGCTTTGCCACTCGAGGTTATTCGGTTGAGTCTGAGCTACAAGCAAAAGGTGAGAAGGGGGAAAAAAAGAGTGTGTTTGGGAGGGAGGGGAGGGAAGTAAAGGAGACCGAGGTCCACTGACTTCATTCAATGCATCCGAAATAAAATGAATTGAGAGTTTTGAGATATTTAGGTTAACACTAATCCTGTTCTCGGCTCCTTGATGTAATCTGGTACAGTTAAACTCAGGTGTCCTATGGCGTGTTTTGTGATGTTATTTTACCTTTATATAAGCTCAGTATGAATGCAGGTCGTTGTTACAGACAAGCGTCACAGCTTTGATCAATTTTCAGGCAGGTTAAGCCCTGCTGCTTTGTGAAACCACAGAATCAGAGACATTCACAGTCCATCAAGTCTGATCATCTCTCGTTCAATCCCACTGTCCTGCCCTATCTCCATTCTCCTTCAATCTTACCTGTCTACTTCTCTCTTGAAACCCACAATGGACTTCTTGTGACTACCTATATCTATCTCCTCCAGTCACTAACTCCTTTACCAGTGAAAATAGCACAAAATCTTGCGGCGTGGGAGACATGAAACTTTTCCCGCAAACTTTCTTTGTGTGGGACTCGGAAGTGAAATGTAAACAGTACGTTCTTTTTATATTTGTCCTGTGGCAATAATTCTTCAAAAATGTACTGGGCGTAAATAACACTTACAAAATTAACACGAGGGAGCTGTGTGCGGCCACACGGAAACCGATGATGAACATATTATGCTATCGAACGAATGGCATATTTGAACATTCAGTATCCGAACTCTCTGAAGATTTCTGCCTATGTGTGACATGATTCGGGCCGATGTCCACTTCAAACCTGTTTGCTTTGTGGGATGTTGCCCTGTGCGAAGCTCACAGCCGCTGCGCTTTACGGTAAACCCTGTGAGGTGCCTTTGAAGTGTCCTCCAGACGCTAATAATGATAATAATAATCCTTTGCATTTGATATAGCGCTTTTCACGTCGGGAGGACGTCCCAAAGCGCTTCACAGAACACACTGCAAAGTGAATTGACTGTATAGTTGTGGGCGAACGCGGCAGCCAATTGCGCACAGCAATGTCCCACAAACAGTCGTGGATTGAAAATGACCAATTTATTATTGTTTTGGGTTTTTGGAGGGATTATTATTACGTTAAAGGTGTTGTATCGAATGCAAGGTTTGGTGTTGCTATGTGATGTTGACAAACAGCGACACCTTCAGGTAACTGTATCACGTTGATGTCAGGCAACTCGGCTCTGACACGTTCTCATTGCTGGAACATATTAGTGAACGAGACTCAGCATCAGAAGTAACGCTGCCAAATGAGTAACAGTTTTCAACAGTCATTGGCTTTTTTTTTAAAACATTTTTTATCTTTCTTTCTTTCTTTCTTAACAAACAAACAAACAAATAAATAAATAAATAGAATTATAGAATAGAATCATAGAATTGTACAGCACAAAAAGAGGCCATTCGGCCCATCGAGTCTGTGCGGCTCTTTGAATAGAGCAATGTAATGTCAATCCCACTCCCCGGCCCTTTCCCTATAACCCTGTAAACCCGTCCTCCTCAAATACCCGTCCACCGCGTTTTTAAAAGTAGTTATCGAATCGGCCTCGACCGCCCTTTCGGGCAACGCGTTCCAGATTCGAACAACTCGCTGCGTGAAAAAATGTCTTCTCACCTCCCCTCGGCTTCTTTTAGAGACTATTTTGAATCGAGTCACCGACGTACCCACCAGTGGAAACAGTTTTTCCCTTTCTAACCTATCAAATTCCCTCATGATTTTGAAGACCTCTATTAGGTCTTCTCGTAACCTTCTCTGCTCCAATGAGAATAATCCCGGCCTCTCCAGCCTTTCCTCATCATTAAGGTCCCTCATTCCTGGTACCATAAATAAATAGCAGTTCCATTTATTTTAAGTGAATGTGCTGATCACTCCTCCCGCCCTGGAAAGGAGAGGCAAAGGAGGCAGCAGACTCCAGCTCTAACCACTGACACACAGCCACCGTGAGGGGTGGTTCTACGTCTATCGAGAGGAAAGTGACACAGCAAAGATGCTTCCCCACTCCCCTTCAGTCAATTCATTTTACGGTATATTCTGTGAAGCGCTTTCAGACGTTTTAGCGAAGTGATAAAGCGCTGTATCAAATGCTAGGATTATTACTACTGTTATTATTATTATTATAAGTCTCTCAGTGGATGAGGGGTGGACATAACCAGACCAGCAGACAATAGTTCAGCTTCTTAAACCGAAGGACACGAGAGCAGTTTGTAATAATTGAAGAACAGCAAGAACTTGCGATTTTACTGTTTTTTTTAATCTTTCTCTCGTTGCAAACTATTTTCATTCCAAAGACTTATTTATCAATATACGTGGTAACCCCCCCCCTCCAGTTAGCACTGACGAGAAAAGTAAACATAGTTCCCAAACGATAAATATTATAAGAAAGTTGATAGTATTGTATAAAATATTATTTGTACACAGTGGTATTCTCCCTTGTTGTCCCCTCGCTCCTGGGCGTGCTTCATTTTGCTTTGGTTAAGTATCGCGGGGCCAAACATTCTCATTGACTGTTAGAACGGATAGCAACCGGAATAGAGCAATTGTGGTATTAGATAATGGAGAAGAAGGGGTTAGGAGGGGTGGAGGCTCTGGTGGAGTATAAACACTGGCACGTATAAATAAGGCCAAAATGGCCTGTTTCCACACAAATCATTCTGCATAATGCTGCCCTCGATCACGGCTGATCTCTGTAACTTAACACCACTTCCCTGTTCTTTCACAGTATGCCTTGATTTCCACCGTCTACCAAATATTCAACAATCTCCCCCCTCCCTCTGAAATATTTCGATTGACGGATATCTACAACCTTGTTTTTGTGGGAATGGGGATGGGGGGTAAGGGGGGATGCGATGTGGGTGGCGGTGGGGGGGGGGGGGGGAGCGGGGCTGAGGGCGGAATAGTGAATTCTACATTTCTGCAACCCTGTAAATGGTTACCTTGGTCACCTTTTTGCCTAGCAAATTCTTATGTTCTTATGGGTTGTAGATGGGGACGTCACCAGAGGAGTTGTTTTGCAGTCTGAGAATTAATTCAAGGAGAATATTGCCCATTGGAGCAACAACGGCTGGGGTAGAAGGTAAGAAGGCCTTTATGCTAAAACTAGTAATACCTTCCTAACGTTTCCCGTGACAGATGCGGTAACGGAAAGATAACCGCCCGGGTATGAATTCAACGCTCTTCATCACGGAGCCCAGCAGACCAGACACACCCTTGGAGCAAACGAGCCGGTTGGTTTAAGTCGAGATGGATAGGAGTTTGGCCATAAAGCTTTCGATTCAGCTTTATCAAAAGGTAGCAAACCGGTTGCATTAGAAATGACTTTATTGGGGCCCGATGTGTGAGGATGTGTTTGTGTGTGGACACAAGGGTGGGGTGGGGGGGTGGTTGATGGTTGTGGGGGTGGCTCAGATATCTGCCTGTTTCCTTGGAATGAACATCATTTGGAGAGAAGATTCTGGCTCGATGGGGTGCTGGGACAAATCCTTGTTATTTCTGATGTTCGCTAGGGTTCTTCCATTCTCTGAGCGGACAGTGTACCTCTTCAACAGAGTCACCAGGATGCCTTTCATCATCACCATGGCGATGTATTTTCCCACACAAGAGCGAGGACCACAGCCAAAGGGCTGGAAATAGCGTTGAGGAACCTGTGGAGGGGGTCGAGCAAGAGTTTCACGCTGGGTTACACTGGGACAAACACACACGCGTGCTCCCCACCCTCGACATCCCTCTACTGCCCCCTCCACCTTGCCCCCATCATTCCCCATCTTCAGGTCATGCCTGAAGTACCTTCCTCTCCAACCGTGCTTACGGTCACCTCCCCCCTTCCCCCTCTCCCCGGCTCGGTGCCGTGCTCCGCCACTGTCAAGAGCTCTGGGACGCTACCCCGTGTGAGGGTGAGGAGAGCTATATAAATGCAAGTTGTTCTTCTACAGTAAACCCTCGCGGATCGCTTTGAGATGTCCTCCCTTCCCCTCCTCCTGACGTGAAGCTTGGTAGGGCAAATGCGAGGAATGTTATTATTTATTCTTGGCTGCACAGAGCCGGGGAGGATCCCGAAATAATAATTTAAGTGCTCCGAGACGCTGTCTGGTGTTGTTGTTGTTGTTGTTGTTGTTTTAATTCCCCCAAATTTTCAAGTACAGTACTCACATTTTGTTCAAAATTCTCCAAGTTGAATTCGTTGGGCTTGGGAAAGAATTCGACCCTGTGCATGCGGCCCAGGTTGAGGATGATGTTGGTGCCTTTCTTGACTTGGTAGCCATCGATCACGTCATCTTTGAGCGCCTTGCGCATCGTGAAGTCCACCACGGGCTGGTACCTCATGCTCTCGTTGATGAAATTCTCCATCGTCCTCAGCTGCTGCAGGTCACTGTTCTCCACCTCACGGTCCCCTAGACATCAACACAGGAAGAGTTAGGCAACACGACACAACACGACACCAATTTCTATTTATATATAATTGTAAGTGCCTTTCACATCGCCAGCAATGGCCCAAACCAAGGTAAGCATCCAATCCTCATGGCTGACCTAATGCTGTTTAGCTACGGACTGGGCAAAGCCTCAGGCAAGTTTCCTTACTCCACATCCTGCTGTTTACCTCACGTAAGTAGGACCAGTTATTAGTCGATTGGGTGGGGGGGGGGCAGTCGCTTTCCAGGGGGTAATAATCCCTCCAAAAAAAAAGGGGTCACTCGATCCACACTGTTTGTCGGACACTGCTGTGCGTGATTCAATCTCCCTCCTTCACCCCCTGCCCTCCACCCTCCCCGATCCCGACCCCCAGCTTGGGTCTGAAACACTGTCTGTTCAGCATCTTCTCCTGATGTGAAAGGTGCTATACAAATGTAACTTTGTTGTTTGTTGTTGTTTTAATTGACTGCCGTGTTTTTCCCACACAATATACGGTCAATCCACTTTACAGTACATTCTGTGAAGCTCTTTGAGACGTCTCAATGACATGATGAGGCGCTATATCAAATGCAAGGATTATTACCATTACGGATGTATTTACTTGGAATATAATCTAGTCCTTATTGGTTTGTCTGGCCATATAAATTCAAACTGTGGAAGTACCATCCTGGAGACTGGAAGAGTGGTCAAAGCCATTTGGTCCAACTAGTCCGTGCTGGTGTTTATACTGCACACCTACCCTCTCACCCCTCCTAAACCCCTCTCCCCAGCTCTCTCACCAGCCCCCACCCCTCTCTTCCCTTGTCCCTCATCAGTGCGTCTGAGCTTCCTCTTAAATGCACCGTTGCTTTCCTCTTGAACCAAGCGCTGTGCTGTGCCTTTCACTCCTAGCCCATTGCGTCTCGATCCTATTGGCAAAACCAAGGACGTGAGGACACTCTGTACTGGAATAACACAACAGATTCAAGCTTAACGGGTCTGTCAGGAAACGAGCCAGGAACTTTTGGGACCTGAATGAATTATAGACAATTATGCCATTATCCCCCCAGCTTGCCCTAATTTCTTAAAATACACAAATGGACATTTATCCCAACCCGCTTGCTCGTCACATTGCTTGAATAGCTCTTTTTAACAGTTTTGCTTTAGGACAGCGCTGATTGATAAGCTTGCTTTGGACAATGCAGACTCGAAGCCTGCTGAATAACTGGACTCGGAGTGCTTTAAGGAAACAAATTATCCATCCCGGGAGATCCCACCAGCTGGGCCTTGCTGTAAGAACGCTGGGATCTGATCAGGCTTTCCTGGGCCGAGAGAGGAGGTGCAGAAGAACGCCCGATTCGAACTCAATGACCACTGGACGAGCGAAGCCCAGAGGGAAGTGCAAGGTTCAGTATCTCGTTGTGAAGTCATTTAATTTCGGAGAAAATCACTCATTCGCCTCACAGGGATTATTATTGACCTGGGTCTGTTTCCCATCGTGGCCACCGCCTTTCATGCCCATGGAGTCCTGTAGCTCAGTGGTTAGAGCACTCGCTTTGCAAGTGAGAGACCTGAGTTCAATTCCAGGCAGAGGGCGAAACCTTGGGCAAGTTTCCTTACTCCACACAGAGCCTAATAATATTCCCTCCAAAACCAAAAACAATAATAAATTGGTCATTTTCAATCTACGACTGTTTGTGGGACATTGCTGTGCGCAATTGGCTGCCGCGTTCGCCCACAAATATACAGTCAATTCACTTTACAGTGTGTCCTGTGAAGCGCTTTGGGACGTCCTCCCGACGTGAAAAGCGCTATATCAAATGCAAGGATTATTATTATTATTATTATAGGTGGCAAGTTGGCTTGCAAACAGGTGACAACTCCACACACTGGTTGGAATAAGGCATAGCTTTAACATTAAAAAAAAACTGCTTAATGTGTTAAGCCCAAAAATGTAATGTAATGGCTACATTTTCTCCGGAGTAATTTACGGCATGTTGCTATTTGAGTCTTTTACAAGGTCAATACAACAAGCCAATCCAGCCACGCCTGCTTCACGCAGGATTTTACTGTAAAGTGTAGTGACTGTGTGTTTTTGTAGGTGAACGCGGAAGACAGTTTACACACAGCAACCTCCCGCAAACAGCCGCGAAGGGAATGACCTTTTTTTTTGTCTGAGTGGATTGTCGGCCAAGGACACCGGGAGTGAAACTCCCTTCTCCGTTCGAGCAACGCTGTGGGATACTTAACGTCCGCCTGAACAGTCATCAAGCGAAAAAAACATTTAATTTGTATAAGTATAATTTCCCGACCGCAGGAAAGTGATTGCACCCAACAATAAATATCCTCTTGCCTGTAACGTCTTGTATTTCCTCAACGACTTTCTTCTCAACCTCGGGGTATTGAGCGATCAGCATTAACATGAAGAAGATGGTGACAGACATGGTGTCTGGCCCAGCGATCAGGATTTCCAGCACGCTCTGGGTCACGTTCTCAGCGGTCAGTTCCCCGTGCGTCTGCAAAACAGAGGTAACAGGGGTGAGAGGCAGCTTTACTTGCTCTCCAGCTGTTCACTGTTCACTCCTATCAGGTCTGGGCACTTGGGAAAAATAGGAGCAGATGGAGGCCGTTCAGCCCCACGAGCCTGTTCTGCCAGTCTTGGTAACTTTCTGCTCTTCCCGCGCCGAACCTCTGGGAACACTCTCCGTGAGTCCCTCCGCCTTGGCTTCTCCTTCCCCGCCTTCAGGTCACCCCTGAAGACCTTCTTCATCCACCGTGCTTCCCGTCAAAACCTACCCCACCCGCCACCTTCCCCCCCCATCACCACTCCCCTCCCACCCCATGGCTCGGAGTCAGCAAGTTATTGTTGTTGCTGTCATCCCCATTCCCTTGACAAGAATAACAACAACAAATGACACGTGTACAGCTCCCTTCGCGTCGGAAAAGACATGGCAAAAACGCCCACGACTGCGGGCCGCGATCTACCTGAGCAAAGATCAGTTCTGTGGCGAAGTCGCTGCTGTCCTGCAGTTTCTCGGCCTCTCGCAGATCCCGTCGTTTTCTCAGTAGCAGCTCCTTGACCGTGTCCTGCAGTTCCCGCCTGGTGACCCAGCACAGGGCAAGACAGAGCGAGAGACGATGACAAAGACTCACAGAGCACGTCCAGCGCGGAAACAAGACCCGCTCAGCCCAACCTGTCCCTGCGCCCGGCGTTTATACACTCCGCACGCCGTACGTCTCCGCTCGTTCCTTTACTCCCTCCCACGCCCTTCTACTCTCCTCTCCCTCACGGGAAAGGTCCAGCTTCCCCTTGAATGTGTCTACACCATCTGATTCTAACCGCTGCTTCAGGCAGCGAGTTCCACAATCTCACCATCGGGGGAAGGACACAATGGCGGCGTCTTATAATACAATTGGTGATAATTATCACATCGACCAGGAAATGTGGACAAATGTGCTAAGGGGAAAGGAAGGAGTGGGGGAAAGGGTAGGATAACTACTGACTGCTTTTGACTGCATTTCATGTCGAGGCGATAATTATCATGGGTGATATTATCACACCTGCTGTTTAGCCACTCCAACAGGAGGAAGAGAGACTTACGCAGCATTTTCGTATTTCTTGTATATCCACTTGAAACGGAAGAAGACGTCTGGCTTCAGGAGCAGCGTTTGCCAAGTATCAAAGTACTTCTGGATTTTAGACACCATTTCGCCTTCTGTAACAGAAAAGCAACCCATGCATTTCCGTTTGCACCGAGTCCTGCCCCTTGAACCCTGAAACTTTAAGGTTAAAAACGGACGTTTCAAGCTAAGACGAGGCGGAATTCTGGGCTTCAGGCACTTATCGCTAACCAATGGGAGAAAAAAAAAAAAATCAAGCTGGGCCTACCATGCAATGGGACTCTGAGGAAGAGTCTATTGGAGACATCAAGCGTGATGGCTCTCAGAAGCTGCAGTACATTTACACAGCTGGTGGCAGCGCAGTTATCGCCCTGCAGTCTCTCCAGGTGGTCGCAAGTGGACTCCACGCACATAGCCAAGGTCCTCTGTAGCCCAGGGCCGGTCAGAGCTGAAATGAATGCACATCGATACCGGTAAATCAGACACACGCCGCGTTTGCAATTGTTTCTGTCTTCCGGCCTCCTGCCCGACAATCCCCCCCCCCCCCCCCCCCCCAGAATGAAATTAGTCATTCGCTTCATGGCTGTTTGTGAGACGCTGCTGTGCGCAATTGCCTGCCGCGTTTCGCCCACAAATCACAGTCAATCCACTTTACAATGTGTTCTGTGAAGGGCTTTGAGACGTCTCAACGATGCGATAAGTCAAATTGAGTCCAGGTGACACCTCGGAGCGGTGGTGGGGGGGTGGATGTGCTGCATTGTCATTGTCGGAGATGCCTGCGTTCCTTTGGATTCAATTTTAATTTCATTTAAACCAAAATCCCGTCTGTGCCTGTTCAGACCCTCAGTATCTGTTGACAGTCTCGGGGTTAACAGAGATCTGTGTATTATAGTTCTGATGAAGGGTTGTGGACCCGAAACATTGACTCACTTTCCTTTCTCCACAGATGCTGCCCTGACCTGCTGAGTGATCCCAGCGACTTCTGGTTCTGTTTCAGATTTCCGGCATCTGCAGCATTTGGCATTTTGTCTGTGTTTTATAGTCCTGTTAGCACTTCTGTATGTATTATGCATATACCCTTTATTGCAAATGCAAGGATTATAATTATGCGGTGCCGAACTCCAACGTATATAATATACCTCTAGAGAGTCAGCAGCGCAAAGTCTTTATGGACAGAAATGTGCATGAAAATGGAAATGATTCTAACCCATTGCGATTTTGAGGTGAGAGAAGAGACGATCGAGAGAGCTCCACCCTAACGAAACCCTGCTTCTGTGCCATCGACGACAGCAGCCTGCATTTACATAGGAGCTGTATTCATATAGTCACGAGCACATCAAAGTCTCAGAGCGCTTTTCGGTGGTTGTGGTGAGGAAGGGCGAGGGGGGAACGGATGCCGAGCCGGGTGGAATCGACCATAGGCACGGTCGAAGAGATAGGTTTTAAGGGCGTGATTTGAAAACAGAGAGAGAGAGAAAGGGGGAGATAAGGGCGTGGTGGGGGCGAGACAGAGGTGCGTCGAGAAAACGATTAGACAATCCGCTACAGATAATGTCAGGAGGCGTCTCACCTTTAGCAAAGTATGGCCGGGTCTGTTTCCAGACGGAGGGGTTATTGTTGAAGATGATGCCGTTCTCGTTCATGCCGATGCACTGCAGCGCTCGCTTGTTCCCGAACCGGGAGATGTAGTGACTCTTCTTCATCACGTGGTTCACGGCAGACGATCTGGGCAAAGGGTCAGAGCGGAACAGTGACAACCGGCAATCGCACGGCTCCTTTCCTTAATCGCACGACAACACCTCAAAGCAATTTTTAAACGGAAGCGAATCAGAATATTACTCAAGACAACGCTGATGCCAGCCTGGCTTGTCGGAAGGACTTGAAGGTAAAACACGGTGTGGGGGTGGGGAGGAGAGGGGTTGGGGGGAGGGAGTCAGGGATTCCTCCCATTCGCTCTCTATTAACCCTTCGAGCCAAAGCCCCAACGGGAAGGGTGGACAAGCGACGGTAAGCTCCCCAGACAGTGTTCACAGTGGCAAGTGGTGCTTAGTTGGTTAAACTCCAGCCATTACCACACCCTCAACACCACCACAACCACCCAACACACACAGTCTGGGGTCACCGATCCTTGGCTCTCACCAACCCGCACACTGAACACTCTCCGTAATCCTCTCTCTGAGAGAGAGAGAGAGAGAGAGTGAGAGGGAGAGGAGAGTTCTCATTCCGTTCCCGACACAGGGAAACTTCCCTTGCTGCAGATGGTTTGTGTGTGAAATCCTCAGTCTGGTTTGGAGACCCTTTTTTTTTGTTAGTTTCGTCGGCTGAGTGTCTGAGACATGCGGAAACCCATCAATCACCATGCTTAAAGGGTATCCCACACAACAGTATCCTACACCGGAGATAGACAGATTGTTGGAATGGAATGCGCACTCTCTCTCTGCTTATCTAAAGGCTATTAAAGGCGATGGGCGAGTTTCTGCAAAGTCTCAGACACCCTTCCCTGGCTGACACCCGATCCCCTCCCCTCCCCTCCAGCCCCCACCCCAAAAAAGTTGATTTCCGATTAACAAACTTCGACAGAATCGAGAGGGAGATGTTTCCGAGTAAACGTTTGACTGCATTTTTTTTTTTTTTACTTGCTGATAATGAGTGTTTCTTCGCCGTGTATCCAGACTCTCACCACCTCGCCGTATTTCTCGTTGTAGTAATTGCAAGCACTTCCGATCCCCATCCACAGGAACCTGCTATAGGACACCACAGGACCGATCCCCAGGAAGAAAGAGGGACCTGGCCAAAGAGATTTAAACACAAAAGTAAGGACCACGGAAAACAAGCGAACTCTCAAGCCTCTCTTTTTTTTCTCTTTTAAAAACAACCCCCCACCCCACTCTCCCCCCAAATCCTGCGCTTCACCAAAAAAAAAGCCGCGATACCATTGCAAATGTCTGATAAGTCTTAAAAGGAACGACGATATTTTAAAAAATATATATATATATATATATATAATTGGGTAGCTATCACGACTTGGCGGTACTTTCCGGAATTAGGTAAGCAGCACGCGTCCCTCCAGGGAGAGAGAGAGCGCACGATCCGTTTCCGACCATCTATCTCTGGAATCTCCACGTGCAGGTGAGATGATGCGTGGAATTCCCAGCTTGGATTGGACGCTCTTAAGCAACCGTGATGGGTTTTTCTGCGCGTGTCAGACACTCGGGCCGACCAACTGACCAACAACAAACTCACATCTACCCAAGTCTACCCCACCATCGTACCCGCACACAGGCACGCGCGGTGCAACCCCCCCCTCCCCTTCGTACTTCGCCTCCAAAATTTCAACCGGACTGCAGTTTTTCTTGAGCAAAATTCTCAGGAAACGCACGAATTCTCAAGACTTTTTTTTTCCCCCTCTCTTTCTTTTTCCCCCCCCACCCCCTTAACAAATATCGTTTTTTTTTTTTAAAAAATGAGGCATTTTTATTCCAAAAACCAAACCGACAAAGGAAACGACGATACGGCGACAAACCTCAGAGCCGAGGGGTTCGTTCTCTCTGCTCTTTTTTTTGGTTGCTATTTTTTTTAAAAAAAAAACAATCCCCACTTACCTGGGAATGGTGTTTTCCTCTGGGATTGCCAAACCAGGACGAGAAGCAGCACTAGAAGGAGTAAGAGAGGAAGTGTAGCTCCGGACACTCTCTTGGGCAACGTTTTGATTGTCACATTATTTCTCTCTGCATTTCCCGTCGACCACATTGTTTCCTCTTGTCCAGCCTGATTCATTCCCACATCAGCTGGACTTCTTGACTTGCATATAAAAAGAATAACGCAGAGCGAGAGAGAGAGAGAGAGGAGAGAGAGATAGAGAGAGAGAGAGAACGAGAACGTAGGAGCACCTTAAAGAAGGAGGATGCCGCAGCCACTGATCGTAGCACCGGGTTCGGTGCTGAGCAGCAGTGTAGCAGGATGGCCACCACATTCATTTTTATAAGGCAAGAGGCGAGGGGTTCAGACAGGGAGAGCCCGCAGGCGAAGTCAAAATAAATGGATGATTTACTTTTTCTTTCAAAGAGAGAGATCTGGGTAACCTTGGTGCAGAAAGTCATCACCCGGCTCTGTGTTTTAATCTGGGATCTTGTCCTTGGAACAGCCACCAGTGACGTTAAAACTCTGCCTTAACCCACCGGAGTTAAATAACACCCACTCCCCATCCCATCACTGTTAACAAACTCACATCTGCCCGAGTCTTCCCCCACACACACCCCACCGCCCCCCCCCCCCCCCACCACCTCCCCCCCCCTCACACACACACACAAAAAGGTTCAAATGGTCACCAAAAAAACTCCCATTCAAAGCTTTCATGTTTTTTTTTTCCCCCCCATCGCCTCTGATGTCAAACTAGAATATTTCTTAAAACTTGGAAAGACCTTACTTTTTTTCCTTACTTTTTCCCAAAATACACACTTTGCTGAATGTTATGTTATTTTAAAAACATATGTGATGATAATAATAATCCTCGCCTTTGGTGTAAAGCCTTTGAGACGTCTCAAAGCGCTTCACAGAATACTGTAAAGTGAATTGACTGTATATATTTTGTGGGCGAAATTTACGTACTTTGTCGAATTTACTACACACATAAGACTAAACTTTTCCTTACTTTTAAAAAAATATTTATTTTGTTGAATGTAATATTACTTTTTTCAATTTTTGTTGTTGAATGTAACACAGGCTGCCCACATGTAACTACTTGTATCTGTATTGATACACAGAAACTCACCCCATCCATTCCTTGGTTAAACAAAACATTGTATAAATGTAAATTGTATTGTATTGTAAAGTAACAAAAATACTCCCACTGATGCTCACAGTAAATATAGATATTGTCATACACACACACACACACATACACACTCAATCGGACCTGAGTCACCTGCACACGATGGGAAGGAACGCTGTTGGTGTTGATATGCCTTCCGGCAGCGTCAATCTTTCCGTCTGCTTTTTTGTGGAAATGCTTTGTTTCCTACAGCTGACGATCTCCCTTGTTCCCTTTTTATAATGGATTCCCCCCACCCGTTGCTAAGTGAAAAGTTGCCAGGAGACGAGGTGTCAGCAGCAGCGAGAGAGAGAGAGAGAGAGGGAGAGATATAGAGAGAGAGAGATGTACTTGAAATCCTGCGACTGTTTGTTTAACTCTCTTCAATTTGCAGCTATTTTAGTGGTTTCATCTATTAGAGTGGTGTCTCAGTAGCAGCCTGTGTTCAGATGCCATGTCGGTAAGTTCCCCGCGTGCTTTTTCCAAAGCTTGCGTTAATGCACAACCTATCTCTCAGTCTGTGTGGCAGAGTTTCTCAAACTATCAGGAGCATCTCCCTGGAGAGGTTCTGGGCCAGCGCCAGGGAAGGTGTCAGTTGCACACCTCCCGACAGTACCGGGTTTCGTGCCCAGGAATCGAACCCGGGTCCTCTCATTTGCGAGGCGAGCATGCTAACCAATACGCTACGGGTCTCTTTAAGTCTCGTCTTCAAACCTACCTCTTTGACCGGACATATAGGCAACATATCATCCCTTTCCCATGATCAGAGGCCCCAAGTCCCCCCCTAGTCTAAGCGCGCAAGATGATTTTCCCACCACACTGAAGGCAGATGCCCACCAGGTAGGTGTTGAGGAAACTGTAAGCCTTGGGGGCCAAAGCTGCTGGTGTACATCCAGTGCCTGGAATCCACCTTGATTGGCCTGCAGTGAGGCAAGCAACTGCTGCTTAAACACCGCACCTTCAATTTGTGGAACCGATACTCAATGGGAAGGGACGTCTGCCCGCGCCGCGATCAGGAAGACGGTGGCAATGCTCTCATGCATTTCATGCTGAGACCTGTTGTCCACTGGGAAGCTCACAGGGAGTTCCTTGTACCTACCATCCACCCAGTGAGGCTCAAACCCACACTTGTTGGATGTCGAATGACCGACTAGTAACTGTCCTGGGTCCAAGGTAACATGCCTGGCAACAAAATGTTGGAATCGAGCCAACGCTCTGTGGCGGTCTCGGTAGTCTGGTTCCTGAGCCAGACGGACCTGAAGTATTCCAGGGCACTGCTGATGACAGAACAACCAGTCTGGCTCATCGACAGGACCTGGAAGGACAGACTTGTCACTGATCCCACCCAGCTCCTGTTAACCCAACAAAGACTTAACAGGTAGGATGGTTCTCACTGGACAAGCAGCGGGAAGGCTTGCTCGACACGGCTAGTTATGCGGTTTTAGCTGTTTAGACTCCCCATTCCCCATTCCTTTTGCGTAGGTGGGAATGCATGGGGTTCTCGGCTTGGTTCGGATAATCTTAAGCAAGGTGATGTATTTCCGAACACATGTCGGACACACGGCTGACAAAACAAAATTGGCTGAAAATTTCAGATGGCTCAGGATCTTACATTTGGGATAGAAAGTTTTAAGAAAGAAAGAAAAAAAAGGCTCCCAAATTGCATCTGAATTCAAGCATCTTTGCCCAGCTCTGCGCAGTGGTGAACTTTAGGGAAAAACTGTCTTCGGGTCTTGGGAATGTCGTCAAGGGGAAAAATATTTGTTTTGCAGGTGGTTGACACAACATCGAACCTTCAAGGACTTTGAAACCATCCAAACTCGGGAGGGCATTGTTGTTGCAGATGTTGTGCGAGTAAAAACTGTTGTGTATTTTTTGCAGCTGGAAAATTATTGCCTGAACCACCTCATTCAAATGGAAGAGCAGCTACAAGCCAATATGAGTGGGCGCTTTGGCGAATCTCTCAAATCAGAGGATATGCTGATAAAAAGGTTTAACCTTTTCATATCAATTTACACCCATTAGTTTCATCCAAGTGCTTCCGGCAACCCAATTCCAACGGTGAGTGTTTATAGATATCGTTATGCTTACTGCTGGGGCACAAGGTACAAAATGGACTCGAGTATTTGGATTTGCCTTTGAATCCTACCAGGCATGGCAAGCAAACAAGCCTTGGATTTGATCTCACATTTCACATCTGGAGCACATCTCAAAGAGAGTCACAGGATTTAGTGTAAAGTGCTTTAGTTCTGCCGGTTGTGTTGGGCCGGGGTGCTTATGGCTGCTGAGGGCTGGTTGCCCTATTCGAGGAAGGTCTGTGGGCCGCATAAACCAATATTTTTGCTTTTCCCTTCCAGAAACATAACATGACAACAGCATTTGCAGGTTATGGAGGGAGCAGGTGGGCCAGATGAAATGGAAGTGTTGGTGGTCGAAGGGGGGTGGGGGGGGGGGGGTGAAGAAATGAATCAGAAATTTGGAAAAGTGTTCCAAAAGAGAAAGGAGTTTCTTCTGGTGTCCTAAGTGTACCCCATGATTATTATTATCATTATTGACCTAAGCAGGGATTTGCTATCTGTTGGGTTAAGATAATTGTTGAAAAATTATTCCCACGGTATCTCAGTAAAATGAATGAGCGCTAAAAACAAGCTGATACGACTGGTGATGTGTAGGGCAGCGAAAAGACCAACATAGCCATTTCCAAAACAGTCACTAAATAGTGAGGGAGTCTGACTTTTCGGTCCTTATAGTTCCTATGTTTCCAAGGGTGCAGTATTCAGACTCCACCATTAGATGTCATCCGATGCTGACTCAATGTCAATGGGTAGGGAGGTGTGGGTTCAATTTTCTGGAAAGCTGGAGAAATGAATGCAATTTTTATGCAATGATGGCGATAGAAGCTGAGAAACAGATGGTTTAAATAG